TACATGGACCCTCTGGACAACAAGTAGACCCAAAGTGGAACGCCCAAAAAGTTTAGGGTTTAAGGTTTGGGTGTTTAGGGGTCAATGTTTACAGGTTCTCGGATTCTCGGGCTTAAGGTTTAATGTTTAGGTTTTATGGGGTTAAGGTTTAATGTTTAGGGTTTAGGGTTAAGGTTTAGTGTTTAGGGTTAAGGCTTAAGGGTTAAGGTTTTTAGGGCTCCAGCTGATCGCCCCTGCTCTCAGGTGCTATTTGCCGGCAGGCTGCCATGCTGCTCTCCATGACTTCAGAGTTGGGTTGAGGAGTTCGGGGTCTAGGGTTTAGGGTTTAGGGTTTAGGGTTTAGGGTTTAGGGTTTAGGGTTTAGGGTTTAGGGGTTTCCTGGGTTTTGGGGTACCATACTTTAATACTTTTTCGGGATCTGGTATTGAAAGGGAACCATTATGAAATAAGAGTCTCTACTTTTTTCTCCTTGGTCACTTCAAAGCCCAGTTTCGGGCTTCAGGGTTTAGGGTTAAGGGGTTCAGGGTTTGGGGCTTTAGAGTAATTTAGAGTTTTAATCTAGGGGGTTTCGGGCTTTCGACTTCAGTGATTGAGGGTTAGGGCTTTAGAGTTTCAAGCGCCGCATGTTAATGGTGTTTAGTAGGGTTTCATCTTGCTTTGCTGCTTGGTTGGCTTAAGCTACCTCCTCCTGATGAACCTCTTGAGATGTAACCTAGAAGCGTCAGAAAATTGGACTACTGTTTCAAGTTTCTCTTACTGGAGCCATACTAAATTACTCCCCCCTGGAATAGGCAAGAAAGCCCTGTTCGGCTGGTCAGGGCACTACATCACACGCAGACATACGAGGTTGCAAGCTAGCTGCTTGGAGGGTCGGGGGACTTAGTAAGTAGGTAGTAAGTAGACTTCTAAGTACCCTAAAAGGGACCCTAATTGGGGTTATGGTACTTATAAGTCCCTAAAATATCCAGTTACTAAGTCCCCCGACCCTCCAAGTGCCACATCCGAGTTCCACACTGTAAACCCTTCGCGCCCGGAGGTCCGAAGCCTCCGAACTCCGTAAATTAAGATTTGGAATGATGATAAGACGACCTTTAGTGACTCTAAGGAAAGACGACTGTTAATTCTACATAGGTGGTTGTCAAAATCATGGTCCCCTTTGGGGTCCCTATTATAATGCGGCACCTATTGTTTCGGGTACCCAAAAAGGGACCCTAATTTTGACAACTACCCACATGGAGTCTGACCTACTTAGGGCTTAAAACCCTAAACCCTAAACCCTAAACCCTAAGACCCCAACCGGGGATCTCCCCCTCTCAGACAATCTGAGCTGAGGAGCTTGATCGGAACCTCGGGTCCGCAACAGTTTCGGGCTTTTCGGGCTTTGCCGCTTTTAGGGGGGGTCCAGGGTTGTTTAGAGGGTTTAGGGTTGTTTAGGGGGTTTAGGGTTGTCCAGGGGGTTTAGGGTTTGGGGGTTGAGGGTTAAGGGGTTTAGGGGCTTAGTGAGGTTTTCAGGGTTTGTTTGGGATTTAGATTATTCCGGGTGGAGCTTAGGTTGTGCTGGGGCGTGATATTGAGGTGAAAGTTAAGCGTTTGTTGCTTCAAAGCCCAACACCCCAAGCATCGCAAAACCCTAAACATCCCAATCCCTCACCCAAACATCTTAGGATCCATTGCAAAATCAGAAACTGGCCTTGAATCAGAAGCTGCACAGCACAAACTGCGCCTTGGAAGCCAGCCGCGCATCAGAAACTGCGCGTCAGAAACCGCCGCGCATCAGAAACCGGCGCGTCAGCAACCAGCGCACATCAGAAACTACAGTTTGGAAACTAAAGCGCAACCTTGGAAGCAATGCTGGGGTGGTGAGAAGAGAGCATCCATGGCCCAACCATGATAGCGTCCATGGTCTGCTGCAATCTGACAAGAGAGCATTGGGGGGGGGGGCAATGGTAACGTCCGTGGCTCTGGCAAGAGAGCATCCATGGCCCAACCATTGAAACATTATCCTAACAGGAGAATATGCTTGTCTTCCAAATAACTTGGATTGAAACGATATTTTCGATCGTCCTATTCGGGATAGGGGGTTAGGTTGAGTGCCTAAGTGTAGGGGTTTACTGCCAGGTTTAGGGTTTAAGCTTCTCAGCCTGGAGCTTTGAGCATGTTGCCACGGCAAAACTCATGACTCCACACAACGAAGGCAAGATTGACTCGTCTTTGACGGCGGTGGCGCTATCGTCTTGGATGCAGGTTCCAATATTAAGCAATTTCGAGGGCTTTAGACAAATCGATGTATGTGCATGTCGTGATTGCAGGTTTGAGATGTCTGGTCGCTGGCGTTCCCGCAACCTAAACTGCTTGTCAGGTTCAGTCGTGCATGGTTTCTGATCCTGGAAGATTCAAGGTTCGTGGCCCCGAACCCTCTGATCCTTCTTATGCCTAAAGCCAGGGTGATGGTGCAGGGCACTAGTCTTAAGCCTAAATCGCGAAGGGCTTGTCGCAACCCGACGAGGAATCTTGCAGCCGCACAGAGCGCCGGTCCCTTCCCTCAACAACGAAAACTTGAAACTTCTAAACAGAAGGTTTTGGCTCCCGACTGTGGAATTGCTATCCAATCCTCGCACAACCTGAACCCAACAATCCTCGAACATTGAAGCCGAAGACTTACATGCTGAACCCGACAGCATCAAAACACGCATGATGACACAAGTTCCTTATCAGTCCTCATAAGCAACGCCCTCAAACCCCCCAAACTCTAAATCGACCCCCGACGTTGAACTCGTACGAATGCCTCAAAGGGCCCGAAGCCCTTCGTGCAACGAGACTCTAAGACCTCTGTACAAGGAAAAGAATCTTCCTGGTATGCTGTAGATTGAAGATATATTCCTTGGTTACGTTTTTGGAACTGTTAGTATACCCTAAGCCCTCAGCTCCAAAAATTGAAAATCATCACGGCTTCAACCCCTCCTGTGAGCCTTTGCTGGAAACCTAAACAGAGGCCCTTATGCAACCATTCCGTTTGCAGTCTCTGGGTGGCAGAGGCCGTCCGACAGACCTCTTCCGAAGCGATGAGCACCGCAGCGACTGGGATGATACGGTTATTAAGGGTTTCTAGGATTTTGAAGGAGTAGAATCGGTTTTAGTGGTGTTTAGTTGGGGGCTTGTCGGATTGCGGTTCGGTGTGGGGCTTTCAGTGACTTTGGATTTGTTTTCGGCGGTCCTCGGCCCTCGGCTTTCGTTTCAGGGCAATTTTTCGCAGAGTGTTTTACGTAGGTTAGTTGGGTTCAACTCGGTTCGCGCCACTGAAGACAAGTATGAGCGATGCATCATAGCCCCAGCTTTATGCCATAAGGCCGGTCTACTCACGTCTACACCCCGGTAACCCCAGAAGACCCCCTGAAGTCTGCATAAGATCCTGAGAAGCATAGGAACTCAAGCATTATTCGCTAAACCCTAAAATCCTAAAACACAATCACCGGGTCAGCTCCGAGGTGAGCGCGCTCGCGGAGGCACAGGACGACGTGTGCCGAGCCTTTCCCGCAGCTTCTGGACCTTGTGCTTCAGGATTGAGGTTGCAAGGCTTACTCGGCTGCAGTTTTCTCAGAAAAGGATCCTTGGGTTGAGCGTTTTAGGGAAGGGGTTTGGGGTTTCCAGCAAACCTTGAGAGTAGGTTTTCTGTTCGTCTGTTTTGAGCTTTTCCCTGAACCATGAACCCCAGGCCTTGCGCTGCTGTGGAGATTTCGTTGTTGCTCTTTGACGGTTCTGAGTTCCCATGAGATCGTGCCAAGGCAGCCACGCATCACCGGACAAGTCGCAGAGTGAGTAGTGTGGAATAGCTATGTTGATTGATGGTGGCTAGTCCGATTAGTGAGTGTCTGTAACTATGCGTTAGTGTTATGGTTTTTCACCACAAGCGGTATGACGGCTGTTAGTCTTACCATCCCAGGTTCTTGGTCTGATGAATCGTTGTGCATAGTACTGTAATTCTTGCTGTTTCTATTGGTGTCTTTGATAGAGTATTCATCATATCACCACTATGAACATGTAGGAACGGTTGCATGCCGTGTGAAGCGGGACAGAACTGCAGGTACCAGTATCACGATGAGCCTAACTTCCTCAAGCTTATCCTAAATCGTATCCCTGTACCAACTTCCGCAACCCTCCCTAACCTCACCGAACGGTAAACTCGAAACCGACTTTGGGTCACCCAACACCCAAGTCAACCGCAGGGCTCCGCCGGGCCGAAAAATGACGGTGTGAATAGGGTTTAGGGTGTAGGGTTTAGGGTGTAGGGTTTAGGGTTTAGGGTTTAGGGTTTAGGGTTTAGGGTTTAGGGTTTAGTACGTGTGAATAAGACGGAACCTCACTGGTCCCAAAGGAATGTTCAAGAATACTCAGCTTGGCTTCTCAACGTGTTTGAATCCCGACGTGTCAGCCCTTGCAGAACAAGCTACGGGGCAAACTCAACTCTTTTTTCTGAACAAAACAGCCTCCGGATTCGGGCGCCTGGTACTCGATGCACGAAGGGCATGCCTCGCACGCACTCCCCCCACCTGGCCCTACAAGAGCCAGGTGCCTCGAGTGATGCAGGAAAACACCTCAGTAACGTGCCTCTTCAAGGCCTAAAATCACTACGCATGTCCCTTCTTGTACCGCCCGATCTCTGTCTCTTCAACGACAGCACCAAAACACAGGATCAAAAACTGGGAAACTGCAACGGTCATAGACTCACGGTTGTTGTTGTGAGCCCCTCTTAGAGGTTGTAGCCGAAGCCCCAGCAATCCCTACACTTTAAACACGGAAAAGGGGGGGATCCAGAAGAAGGACTCTCACAGCGCTACTGGCTGCTCTAAAAGCCCTAACTTACAGTTAGACAGAGCCCTGCCTCCGTTCTCCCCAACTACCCAAGGCTATTTTCTATGTTTAACGAGTTGACACGGTTAAGACCTCCTCAGACTGCTTTGTGACATCTGGGCCCCATACTACATCCAAGGCTCCAACTAATATCACTCTGAAGAGGACTCTTCCGACACATCACCTCCCTCAACTTGGGCAAGCCAAGATCCGATCAACCCTTCAAACCTAGACCGAACCGCCTCTGGATACCCATATGCATCAACAGGATACCCGGCCCGCCAGAGGGAATAAAGGATGTGTGCCCTATGGCGTACGCTAGGTCCTAACGGCAAGGGAACTACCGACATGGCTCCCGTTTGGGTGCCCTGGTCTTTAAACTCATTGCGAGCCCTCCAGGCCCTCCAACAGCCTTTTGCGACTTCCCAGGACACTACACTCAAAAGAACCTTGCCAGCCTCCCACATGGTAGACCCATCGCACCCTTCAAACCCGGCTTCACAGGGCTCCACATCTGGGGCATCCGGACCGCTAACTGCGACTAGGTGCATACTTACAGCGGAACACTGGTCATGCTGAGGGCCCCAAGTCTCATCCAAACTTCCCGCGACAACCTTGATGCATCCCCAGAAGAACCAAACTATCCAAAGAGCAACCCAAATCGCACTCCAACTAAGCCTCGTATGTCCAAAACCCCGAAACCTTCGACGCCGGATCGGAATGTCTGAGCTACTGCTCGGTAACTCCTCCTCTTCATCCGGGGCATCACTTACGGGTTCAGGAAAGATAGCTTGGAACGTAGCCCAATCCCCAGTGTGCAAACCATGAACAACAGCAGCTACATCGGTTTGACTCCACCCTGGAAGTGGCACAGCTACCGTGTCATCAGCATAGGTGCACAACAAAGCGCCCTCTACCGCTTCGTACACAGGCCCAGTAGGAGCCACCACCGCGGAACTTACAGGTCCCGCAAGGCTCTGGCAGTGACTTCCCGCGGACCGACTGCTACCATCCTCCGAGCTAGCAGTTGGTGACACTACCGAAGGTTCCGTAGTCGAGCTTTCAGACCCATCAGACTCCGAAGACGATTCACCTAACAAGGCTTGACCCGCTGGACCGAACCTAAGGACCCCCGGGACCTCCAACCTAGGTAACAAAGGCCTCTCGTCGATTTCTTCGTCGTCTTCGAAATCTGACGCATCAGCGGGCTGATCTCTTTCCACATCGGGCTCAAACGGATATTGAACCGTACCACTTTGTAGATAGGCATTAGCGGCATCGTAGGTCAGCTGCGACTGCGCCATACGCAACTGATACACTCGTCTCAACCATATCGAGAGAGCCAACGTAACCTGGCTTCCAAACCCAGTTGCAACAGCCCTCAAGTATCCCCAGGAAGATACACGGTCCCCCAACAAATCCAACACCAACCATCCTATCGTCATAAAGACCCTTAAAAGATAGTGCGAAGACACCCCGGGAGGGCCTTCCACATATGGAAAAACGAATGATCGATCTTGGACCGTCGTAGGTCCTCCTAATCCTCGCGACACCGAGCTCACTGCCATAGGGGGCCCAGTCAAAACAAACTCCTCCGTGGCCAACAACCACTGGGGCCCATTATACAAAATCGACTGCGGACCACGCCGTAACACTTCGACTACCGCGAACACTAGGGCATACCGAATCCCTGCAGACACCGCTCGCAACCTTAACCACTCACTACTCCTCTCTCCCAAAGACCACAAGATCCCTTCACCCCACTGAGATAACAGCTGGACTAAGTAATGCGTAACCAACCACGACCCTACATACGGAAATTGGTCAGTCAGCATGCCTTCAGCGGCATAATCTTCATAACAGAAATCTGGTCCAGGAGCGACTGCCATCCCGTGACTACTGGAACTACCTCCCACCTGCACCTGCGGGCTAGGCACACCAGTCACCTCTGCCTCGTCCCTGAACTCACGAGTGGATGTCGAGCCAGAGCTCCCCCCAAACTGCACGGTGGTACCAGAGCGATCATGCGGCCTAGACCCTTCTCTGAAGGACGCATCCGAACCCCGAGGATCTTGAGAGCCAGAGCTCCCCCCAAACTGCATGGTGGACCCCGAGCAATCATGTGGCATGGAGCTCCCCCCAGCCTGCGACCCCGAATCCAAATGATCCGAAGCATGAAGCCCCGAGAATCTCCAGCCTGCACCCAAACCTTGAAAGACAACAGTCACCTCCGCTTGGCCCGGAAATTCACCCGCATACAGCCCCGTATCCCTCAGCTGCCGGAGCAGCCTCATCAACGCTTCACTGTGAAACGTCGAGGCCGTCACACTCAAAGCCGCCCACTCAGAAGCAGAACACCCTAGCATATCAACCAGAGCACTACCCCACAACCCTAGGAACCAACTTAAAAAGGTGGAAGCTTCCAACAGCCCAGAACCTGGCGGTTCACTGCCGCTTGCATCTCCAGCGTTCAACACCACCTCATCACCACCATCAACAGCAGCACAACCACTCTCAGCTTCTCGCGGGGAACCCAACCCAGTAAACCAGGTCGGTGCGGGTCCGAACCGTTGCATAAAGGTAGGGGGCTCCAAAACCCCTCCAGACTCCAAGACCCTCCTAATCTTGGCCCTCTGAACAAATGTAAGCCCGGATTCCCTTTCCATCGTCTCGAACTTAGCCTGCGCAGCCGCCCATTCCTCAGCACTAAACTCATCATCATCATCATCGGCGACAGCTTCTTCTTCAGAGGCATCTAACCCGGAAGGTGCTGGCTCAAGATCGCCCTCAACACCCAAATCATCGGTACCCTCAACCCCGCAGCCGGTGCCGCTACCCTGAAGCCCATAGCCCCCAGAAAGCCCCGGAAGCGTCCCAAACAGCCACCGCCAACCCCAGCAACTGAACACTGCCAAAACTAGGACCCCGAAGAACCACGAAAGCCACCCCGAACCCACATCAATCCGGTCTTCAAACGGTTGGCCCTTCACACGAGGAAGCATGGCCAAAAGGACCAGACCTGCCAAGGTCTTTGCTAGGTCATCTACCGAATGCCCCTCTTCAAGGCATAAACGACTAAGCACACGAGCGGTTTCAGCGGAATCCTCCGATACAGTCCTTATTCTTATATTGATTAAATCTAGAAGTCTAAGGATACGGGGACGGGTAAGCGGTTTGGTTCCAAGGTCCGCGATCAACTGCTCTCCCGGCATATGAGATACTCTTAAAAGATTGGCAGAGATGCGTTCCCGGGCCGCTGAGGCCCTCATTCTCAGGTGTCGGCTGCGCCAACCGCTTGGCGACAGTTCAAATGATCTGAGCGCTGCTTCGTTGTCGGCATAAAGTAAGAGGACGGAGTCCGCTTCTACGACCTCCTCTATGAGGGGTTGGATGGCCTCTCCTCTCTGGATGCCCACCACCATAGTCACGAGCTCCGATTCTGCGCTAGAAAGCGTTGTGAAAGCTTGCCTTGTCACTTCCCAAGCCAAAGGTACACTGCGCCACACTATGAAAATCGATTGCATGGAACGGTCCCCACCAGGGCTATGAGAAGCGTCGGTATACAACTCCAGTACTCGATCAGTTCGCGGAAGCGCCAAAAGTTCATGGTTCGAAAAGGTGTCTCCCAACTGAAACGGCACATCTATCCCCATATCAATCGTCGACTTCAAGTATTCAAGAGCTTGTCGGCCCATCGCAATCGAGAGCAAAGGCGATTTCGTCGCTTGTTGTCCACATCGTGCCACAACATAAGCAATGTCTGGCCGCGTACGCGTCGACAGCCACAACAACGCTCCGGTCACCGCCTGAGCTTCCCTGATTTGATCAACCGTAGGCGAATCTGCCCCTTCGGGTTCCGTCCACTTGTTGATCGGTACACTGGCCTCGGTAGTAATCTCGTAGCGGTTGAGAAGTTCCTGTATGTAGGCACGCTGCGTCATGCGGTAGCCTGCTTCCCCTCTCGATAGTTCTATGCCGCAGAAAGTCACCGGTCGCTCGCAAATCCACTCCGGATCGCTAGTCTTCCAGCGGGCCTTTATGGCAAGAATAAACTGACTGCACAGATCTGCCGGTCCAAAGAAAGCAAGATCATCTACATACACCACCAGGATCCCAGCTGTATCACCGAGGCTCCCATCCTTAAAGGTCCTAGCCAACCACAAGGCATCATCAGACTTCATTTGCGTTAGTCGGTACGTGACCCCTTCGGACACAATTTCCAACTTGGTAAACTCCTCATCCCTGTAGCGTCCCCAGTCCTTAGGAGAGGTAGGCAACCCATAAAGTGCTTTACGGATCCACCACCTATCGTCCCTACCCAAGAGACCTAACTCTACGAGAAAACTAGGGGGCTTAACCACTATTCGCTCCTCCTTACCCTCGTAGCTACTGCGAATGGGAGCATACAAGAAGGCCGATTTCACATCTATGGTCACTCCGATCCAAAGGATAAATCGCGCAGCAAACGTCAATGCCACTTTCACCGATAGCGCTTCTGCGCCCGAAGCGTAGAGATCTTCACGTGTAAGCCCAAGTTTCTCAGTAGGAAGGTAATTCCCGCAACACACCGCCCTACATCGCCTTTTCCCGGTCCCGGATTTCCGGGTAAGGACAACCTTTCCAGGGAGCTGCACCACGTTGATTCCTTCACTAGCCCAACGGTCTACCTCAGCAGCCTTAACCCTATCAACCGCCCGATTAGTGGTCTCTAAACTATTCACCTCATCGGCAGCGGGCTCCTTCCATTTATCAAGTTCACGACGAGCTTCCGACAGACCTACGGACCTTGTTTGCAGAAACTGATCAGGACCTACCTCGCTAAGCGGTACCTCGGCCTGAAGGGCCCCAACCCGAATCTCCTGTTCAACCAAAACCTGCTCTGCCCAGTCACACCAAGCCTCAGCCCTCTTAAGCTGAACAGAAACTCCCTGGAACCCTTCATCAAAATCCAAAGCTTCGCTCATCTCCTCCGCTAACAATCGACACAATCGAGCCGTGCACTGAAGTTCATGATCAAAACCATCCCTGACACACTCCGACAAAGGCGTAGGGACGGCCACTTCCCACTTCAAGTCTACGGCATTCAGATTCACAGGCTCGGGTTGCGCAGAAACAGCTGGCTCCGGACCAACAAACGCAGACCATCGTGCTCGTACCGGATCAACCGGAAAACCTAGGTCCCTTAAGCGATCCCAATCCTCATCCCGGGTATCCCTAATATCCCTAGGCACAAAAGCTGAGACCACCCACCTAGAATCCCCAGCCCACAATTCAGGCACATGCCACCTGTCCCCGGAAAACACAACGGGTTCATTACGGATATCATAGACAGACCCAGGTCTCTTGAGTCCCCCTGGGAGCTCTTTACACACTGGTCCATTCAGGTCCTCGCTTTCAACCCAAAGACCACCCCCAATGAACTCACCTACAGCCCGTACCAAAATATCAAAACCCTTAGCATATCTCAGGTCCCGGTGCAATGGCATCACAGTATTACGCGACACATACAGAGTTGTCCACAAGTGATCAGGATTTTGCTGGTGTACGAAGTGATTGAGGTACCTCGTCAGGTCCGGATGCTCCAAGGCCATCTTGGATACCCCATGGAATCCCCCAACGCCGTAAAGACCTAGAACCACTGCTTGGCCTTGTCCCTTAATCATGGACCTACGGGCTACCGGCATACTACGAAGCCCAATTTCCAAACCCTTAAAACAATTCTGAGCCGAACAGGCTTCCTCTTCGCCAACGCTCTTCCACCACTGAACAAACTCCGTATCTTCTACTTTCACCGCTGCAACAGTAGTATCCGGGCAATCAGGCTGAGCGACAGCTTCACTCATCGGCTCCAATCGTTCTACTTCGAATCCCTCACCTTCAGTTTCGACCCAGCCATCTTCATCGAAACCACCACCACATTCAGGATCCCAAAAAAGACCGATACCAGACCACCCTTCAACTAAATCACCATCGAAATCCGAATCATGTTCCTCGACCGACACCACATTTTTTAACTCACCTGCAGAAGAGGCCCCACACCACTCCCCCCCAGGTGATAACCTGGCATTATCGTCGGTCAAAACCGTAGTAAGATCCTCAGCAGCTACGACCCGCAACGCGAACGGCGGGGAGCGCTTCCCCACGAGGCGATATCGAGGTTTCGCAACTGTATCAGAGGTCCCGCGCAAAGGGTAAACCGTATTGGTCAGCAGCACTCTATGCTCTTCCCCCTCCGGAACCAACACCAAATGGCCACCCGGCGTGCAAGGGGCCGGCCCAAGGTAAATCGCCTCCACAGTGCGCGACTCCCATTGAGAGTCAAACCCAGTGCGACGGCGACGACGAGCATGAAGCTTAACACCAAAAGGCAACAGTGGAGCCTGAGGGTTACCAATAGCTTCGTTGAAGTTTACCCAGTTACGCGCAGACCCATGCAGGAGCGCCAACGGCCAGAACTGTTTCTGAAGGCCAGACACAACAAGCAGCTTGCGGACGAACCCCTTTAAACTCTGTACAGCCAACTCCGCACGATTACCAGCAGGCGACTCGCCTGCCGTCCAGGTGCCGTGGATGCCCCTATCCTTTATCCACGTAGTTAATGCATGTGACCTAAGCTCTTTCGCACGGTCCGCATGAAACCGTTGAACGGGAAAGCCTGCCGCCTCCAGTCTGTTAATCATACTTTGAACGTGCGGCAGAACCTCGCGCCCATGCTTCGATCGGATAGGCACACCCATGAACAGAGTCTTATAACCCTTGTGCTCTTCCAATGCAGGAGACTCGCCCGAATCGGCAGGCTCAGGCTGTTTACCCTTAACTCTGTGAGTCACCGCTTTAAGCTCTGCTCGCACCTCTTCCAACGACAATGGAATTTGGTCCAACTCCCGAAACAGTTCATCATCAGCTCGAGCTCCCTTATCACCATCAGGATACTTAGGCACAAATCCCTCCGATTCAATCGGCACCATATGCCCACATTCTTCAGGTACAGGATCAGACCCCTCAGAAGTATCGGGACTCTCAGTAACAAAGGTGCTCGGAATAGCGTAGGCAAAAGCTAGAAAGTAGCAGTACCCTTTACCCTTATCCCTCCCACTCGCCTCTACATCCCAAGACAAGCCAGAGATCAAGGGACCCGCTACATCGGCACTTAGGGAGTGCACACCGGGAAACCCGGACCGCCAATGGGATCGTTGTCGGCCCTGGGCTTGTATACATACTGGGCACCCTTTACGATAAGGTACATGATCTTGTTGCACATGTCGCTTATACGACTCCTCCTCAGAGAGCTTCCTCAACACCACCTGTCTTTCACGTACCTCATCAGCACGGGACTGTTCCCATTTCCATAACACCCAGCTCTTCTGAACCAAGTTGCATAAACCCCGGGACCAACACGGTTCCCCGGATGACGAATCAATCCCCGCTTTACCATGAGCGTTATTCCACGCCACCCTTAACTTATCATCTACCCGAACTTCATGTACCGCCTCAAACAGGAACCAAGAACTCGTAATCAAGGTAGTCTCACAAATCCCCAGTAGTCCGAAGCACCCTTGATCGAAAGACGCTGAACGCAAAGCGTAGGTCGAGAGAAACCGCGACTTCTCGGACGCAGCAGCGCCCAAACTCCCGCACTTAGACCACACACTTGGATCCATAGCAAAGAAGACCCCACTCAGGTCTCCCCCACTCTCCGGAAGTGGGGTGCCTATCTCTGACCCCGCTACCTTAACCTCAGCATCCCTGACGGCCTGTGCTACCGAGAACAGCAAAACCATCCTCAAATACCTCACGACCTCATCTTCCTGCAACTCTTCTGAGGACTCAAGCCCCTGCTCAACTGTCTCAGGACCCTTTACAAATCCTCCTAACACTCCCTGCTGAGCCCACCTCATAAGAAGCCTAAACACCAACCTAGAGCCCAAGCCCCTTTCAGTATTAGCCACAGGGAGCACCCGTCCCATACCCTTCCAAGCAGAAGCACTCGGGGTCACCAACATCATAACCGAACCCATACTTGCACGAGTCATTGACCTCCGTAATCTTCGATTCCAAGGCAAGTCCGACCAGTCATTATACCCAGGATCCAAAGGCGATGCGCAAACCCTCGCTAAAACCTTACCCGAAACCTCCGGGAAAAGACTCCGCAGGAAAACCAGTTGGTCAATGTCAGTAAGGCCACCAGACCGCATCCCAACCCGATCTCGCAACCATTCCCGAGCACACCCTGAAGTAACTCCCTGCACCAAATCATAGGCCTCAGCCTTGCTTACGAGTGCATCACCTCTCCTTTTGGCCTCATACTCCTCCAGAAGCTTCAAACCCACAGCCTTAGGGATCAACGGGCAACCCTTCACCACCGTGACGTCCAGAGCACCTTGCTTCCTATGCTTAACCTTACAACTACCACGGCGCCAACAAATAGAATACCCAAGATCCACTAAGTAGCTCGCCGGAAGAATGACCTGGCAACCCCCATTATGAAGCAAGGTCCCCTGGGCATTCACCCTAAGTTCAGTACCCCCGCTTGCCAGATCAACACGAATGACGCGGCAATTGTCCGCCTCCCCCGGTCCCGCAGGGCGTAGAGCGTTAGTGGCTCCGGAGTCGATCAGGGCAAACGACGGGTCAGAGGCGCTGACAAGAGCGCTTCTCAGCCAGGAGACATCGATATCCTCTACATGGAGAGCCCTCAGAGAAACCCCTTTAAGGATCTTCGTGGCTTCTGCGACGAGCGCCTCCTGACTCAAGGCTGCACTCGCACTGGCCGCCGCCGAATTAACTGCAGCGCCAGCGGAATCACCCTTGGCTGAATCCTCAGTCACCCCTTTCGCCTGAGCCCCCGCCTTTACCTTGGCCTTAGCCTTAGGAGAGCCCTTACCACCCTTCGGGGACCCATCCGAACCCTGATCACTAATCACCACCCTATGTTCAGGAGGAACCAGTGGGCATTCCGGTCGCATGTGTCCGGGCTGTCCACAGGCCAAACACTTGCCCTCTCGACGGGCCTTCGCTCGGTCGTGCTTAAACCGACAGCTGTCGCCAAACCGGCATCCAGAGGAGTCTGAAAACTTGTGGCAAAGTGGAGCCTCACTCTTACCTTTACCCTTACCCTTATCCGTAACCTCACCCGCACTAGGACTCACCGCAGCTACCTGAGGGGAGGTCTGGACCGAAGTCGGAGGTACAGGAGGAGGCGCCTTATTCGGAGCACTTGGAACCCCGGGGACACTACCCTGGTCCTTGGTTGCGGCTGCCGCAACCCTGGTACGCTTGTCAGCGCCAGCATCAGATGTGATAACTGCCGACTCACACTCCGCTTGGATAAGTCTGACTAGCTGGATCACACTAGATACAGTAGGGTTATAATCAATCGCAAGTTGGTGCCTGAACGCGTTAACCCTAAACCCAATCATCGGATGAGCGCTAAGCAGCGCAGAAGTCGATAAGTCCACACCCCGAAGGAGCAATGACGGATCCGGAAGTGTCGCATGTATCTCGCTGGCTCTCTGCAACCCCTGCTGCCAAGTCCGAAGGCCTTTCACCGCCTCACTAAACGACTTACATACACTAGGATTAACCAACTGAGACAACAAGTGCGATCGTTCACTGCTCCCTCCAGGTTGAAACAAGCACAGCACTCGGAATAGAATCGCAGCACTGCTGAGCCATCTGTTTGTCACCACGTCATCCCGAATGGACTGAGGAACCGCGGCAAGCAAAAGGCTCACAGACCTACTTTCGACTCTCCCATACAAATGCTGATCGAAATCCCCTACTATAGTCGATGGGTCTACAGCAAGACGGCCTAAGGGATCGGCTACTAGCCACCTACGGTACGCCGCGGTGGCTGGTCCTTCGACCCCCTGCCACCAAACTGACGCGCTCATCGATAAGCCCACCATTATCTGACGCACTTGCGCCAACCAGTTGCCACAGACCACTGCCGAGTTGGCTAAATCGGATTGATTTAACTTAGGTAGTTCAGAGATATAGCGGGCCGGCTCTTCAGGGCGGGGAAGGTCTTGACCCTTAGTGCCGTACCCTGGGACCCCGCCTACATCGAGAACCCTGGACCCCTGAAGCCCTTCCGTTCCCGAGACTCCAGACAAACCTGCAGCCCCAATGGAGCCCGGCACACCCAAACTACCTGGAACCCCGCATCCTGCTGGACTATACCCAAATCCCGAATGCGCAGCTCCTCCCTGTAGCCCGGTTAACCCAGCTGGCAATTGTCCACACCCTAACCTAGCCAACTCCTGATCCCTCAAAGCTCCAGGTACCCCTGAAACCAGTTCCCCTAAACCCAGGCGGCTGGTGGGCGCACCTGGAAACGAAGTCGCCGTGCTCGCCGCAGCCGCCGGCGGCAAAGGAGGAGGCTTTATGGAAGTTCCCCCCGGGGATACCGGGTATCCCTCCGCATCAAAACCTGAACCTCCTTCCCTACCCCCTCGAGGAGTATGGAAGCTCAACAACTCCTGACCTGCAAGTTCTCGGGCCCTAACCTGTTCCGTAAATTGTCGCATGGTTTGGGGTTCGGGAGTTATTGCAGTGGAACCCACACAAGCGCTCTGGGGCGTCAAGGGCGGCAGGGGCAACGGAGGTGGAGGGAGCCTACAGGTTCCTTCTACCGGGGCCCTGGGCAAACCTAAAGAGTATGATGCGAAGCTCTGGGCCTCTAGTTCCATAAGACTTGCTCCTGCAGGATGGCCCATCCCAGAGTGTGGTCCTCTCATGAGGCCTCCCTCCGTAACCGGCGTAGGCCCTACATTACAACCACCCAACCCACGACCCTCGTGACCCGGGAAATCGCTAGCCAGAAACGCCTGTACAGCACTACCAGATCTGGGCCCAAACGTGGCCGGGGAAAACGATTCCGGAACAGCTCCGCTGCCCCACTCAGGAGCTGCGATCCCGCTATGCCAGCTGGAATGAGACCGCGACTCAATTTCCAGCCTTCTCTTCAGACTCTTGTTCTCCGCCACCACTTGAACCAATAGGCTCTCTAGCCTTCCCAAGCGATCCGAATCCGAAGCCGGGATCAACTCTCTCGCATCCTCAGGGCCAAAAGGGTCAGGACCCAACTCATCCCCAGCTGACTCCTCTGCTTTATACACCCGAGGGGGCGCAGACAAAGAAGTCTCTTGCGGAGCACCACCAGGAAAGGTTGCCGCCAGATTCCCCGTCGCCCGCGGACTACCCGCAGTAACATCCACCCGGGCCACTCTGGGAGCTTCCCGAGATCCTTCCCCTCCTCCAAGGGCAGCTGCATAGTTAGGCTCTCCATCATCCCCAGGTCGGGTTTCCCCCAAAGTAGGGGCATCAGGATCAACCCTTAGCCTTCGCCCATCATCATCCAGCGAGGTCGGCCTGTTTCGGATTAGCTCGACCTCCGTCCGGACTTTCTCAGAGTGGAAGGGATTCGCCACAGGCAGATGTTCATCTACTGCAGATGTGGTCGCCGGCTCACCAGCAACTTGCATCTTGGCTTCACCACTCTCCAGAGTGCCAGGAGACGCTTCTCCTGGCAGTATGCCATTCAAAGAGACACCACCGGTCCCTCTGACGGGCCCTGCTGCAGGACCCCCTTGACTCAAGGCTGCTCGGTATTCCTCCTCGCTCATGCCATCATCCGGCTCCCCAGCACCGCTTGCCCTCCTTCGACGGCTCAACGGATCCATGGCCGAGAACTACGGATAAGAACACAAACCCTACAATGTTTAGTCCGAAAAACTCAGCTAGAAAAGCCGACTTACGGCTGATAACCTACGTGTGAATAAGACGGAACCTCACTGGTCCCAAAGGAATGTTCAAGAATACTCAGCTTGGCTTCTCAACGTGTTTGAATCCCGACGTGTCAGCCCTTGCAGAACAAGCTACGGGGCAAACTCAACTCTTTTTTCTGAACAAAACAGCCTCCGGATTCGGGCGCCTGGTACTCGATGCACGAAGGGCATGCCTCGCACGCATTTAGGGTTTAGGGTTGGGAATCATTTTTTTTGAGATTTCCCTAAAAAACACGTACTACAGCGTGCCCCCACATTCTGAAACACACCTAGGTGTACATTTTGGGTGCCTTTTTCAGGGGTCTTTATTACAACAAAGATCCTGCTTGTTTGGGGCCTAGTCGTTTTCTGGATTTCTGAAAAAGCCACTCAACACCCTAATCCCCATATGCCCCTAAACCCCTAAACACCCTAATCCCCATATACCCCTAAACCCCTAAACACCCTAATCCCCATATACCCCTAAACCCCTAGACACCCTAAGCCCCATCAACCCCGAAGTACAAGGATGCAACACTTATACAATTGTAGGGCTCCTTATTGTAGTTCAAAATCCTACTCCCTACATTACCCTAAATTAGGCCCTAAATCCCCAGCCCTAAACTCCTCAGACCCTCAGAACTCGAAAACCCCAATTCAGTCCTAAACCATCTAGGGCTCCGTTTGGAACCCTGATAACAACTCCCAATCTCGAAGCATGTGAATTGGAAGAACTACACCCTAAAACCTACATCCCTAAACCCTAGATCCTAAACCCTAAACCAAGATTCTGTCATGCAGATTCAAAAAGGCCCTCAAAGCAAAACTAAACTCTACACCCCCAAAATGAAGCCGAAGGGCCCCCTTTGGGTGAGGCATCCGGGCGGAGCTCACGCTGCGTGAGCACGAGCTCGGGGCGGCAAAGGCCACTTTCTTTCTTTTTGTGGGGGTTTAGAGTTTATGGGTCTAAGGTTTCATAAGGGTTTAATCTAGGGTTGTGTGTGTGTGTGTGCGTGTGTCTAGGGTTTAGGGTTGGGACTTGATAGGTGCTGCAAGGGCTTACTGGGGTTTGCATGCTTTTTGTTTTGTAACGGTTTGTAAAGGGATTTCTTTACGAGAGTTTCGCAAGGGTTGAGGGTTCAGGGTTTTAGGTTCCTTGAGGGGTTTGGGGGTTCTGGGGACTTCGGCGGTTCTTGTGTGTTGTTGACAGGGGAACTTTGCAGGTGTTTTGGGTTTTGAAGAACAAGGGCTGCAAAGTCAATTTAAATACAGAAGCCTGAATAATTACCAACGATTAGTTATATCCTGATGTGCTGTACGATACCGCAAAGCGGTGTTCGAAGTGTAAAGGCCCCTACATTTCCGCTTGTAGACTAGCTTGCGGAGTTCGGGTGGTCTTCGAACGCTCGGGGTTTCTGGATTTAGAGGCTTCAAGATTCGGGGTTCTCGAGGCCTAAACCCTAAACCCCTAAACCCCTAAGTCCCGAAACCCTAAATCCCTAAACCCCTAAACCCGAAACCTCTGAACCCTCAACCCTAAAGGAGGCTTGAGGCTTGGAGTTTAACCATATAGCGGCCAAAGGTCTACGGGGAGTACCCTTATCCTTATTTGTTGCTGTCGTCGTTTGTGCTATTCTTATCGTCACCCCTCTCATCAGCGTCAACATCGTGATCAGAGCGGGCCCGCCGAGGGAGGGTTTAGCGTTTGAGGTCTAGGGTTTTAGGGTTCAGGGTCTACTTGGAGGCCCTTTTGACTTAGTAAGTCTACTTAGTATCCCCTAGAAACCCTATTATAATCCCCATAACTTACCTTACCAACCCTACTTACTAAGTCAAAAGGGCCTCCAAGTAGGGTTGTGGACACTTCGGGACCGGTCTTAGTGTGGAAGCAGTGTAGAAGTTGGTCAAGGCAAGGCTTGTGACAGTCACCCCGTCCGAGCTGCAAGCCCTCCCTAAACCCTAAACCCTAAACCCTAAACCCTAAACCCTAAACCCTAAACCCTAAACCCTAAACCGTCTAAGCCTAAGGTTTACCTGTAGGGTCTGAGCCTACCCTTGACAAGGGAAGATGAAGGAATCGGAGTACAGCGCCCTCAAAGTGTTGAACTTTGGGGCTGCAGATAGAAGCACCTTCGGCAGACCTTCAACAGCGAATCCTTTGACTTTCGGTTTTGAGCTACCAACAAAGCATCCTAAGCCCTGCACCTCTACTCCGAAGCACCTTTTGCCTAACAGCCCATATCCCCAAAAGCCTCAACCCAGCCTTGAGAATTGCGTCATGAAAGGACGAAGTGCAGCGCTTGCGCCGTGAAGAGAAGACGGGGCAGGGAATTGCTTTACTTGTGGTTTAGGGTTCATATGGATGGTTGTCAAAATTATGGTCCTTATTATAATACGGCACCTAATATTTAGGGTACCCAGAAAGGGACCATAATTTTGACAACTACCCTTATAGGTGCCGGGGTGTGTTTTAGGATGTAGGGTTTAGAGTTTGAAAGTTTCAAGAGTTCTGGGGCTTCTCGCCCCAACTCCTACTCTCATGGTTAATGAAAGCCCTTGGTCATTGAGAGAATGGGGAGTTCAAAGAAGGCCAAGAGCAAAGTTTCTGCCTGCGACCCGTTTCCAAATTTGATGGTTCAGTGACCGCGATTTTGCTGTTTTCATCCCTGCACGCCGAGCTGAGCTAGCTTTCCGATTACGTTGTGGCTCGAACATGGTAACCCTGGTAGTTGTTTCCGGAGCGCTTGAACGAAGTGTGTGCGCGCCGAGTTGGAGGTGTTTGATCCGCCTACATCGTCACAGCAGCTGCACACTAATTACGGAAAGCAAGTCCGCATAGATTCGCTTAAATTCGATGCACTGTCGGCAATCTAATTCGCCCCCTCCTCTCTGATAGCTCGTGAGCATTGCAGGTGGCCGTTCCAGTTCTGTAGCAGCGTGACGTATTATGTTTCTGCTTTGTGTTTTACGTAAGCTGCAGGCACAAGTGGGCGCTTGAGGGCTTAGGTTAGGGACCCAACAGGGACATAAGCGTAAGCATTTTATAGGGATATCCCGACCTTATTGGAGTTCATTTTGGAGGGGTTTATATGGGATATCCGTATTCTAGTTTTGGCTTATGTGCTTTTTTGGGCCCTATTAGAAGTGGCGGTTGAAGTTTAGGGGTTTAGGGGTGAGAGCTTGGGGTCTTAAAGCCTACACCCTAAACCCTGAAAGCTCAACATTGCAAAGGAGGAGCGCAAAATTGGCTGAAGAGCTGGAAGAGGCCTGGAACATTGAACATAGGAGGCACAATCGCAAGAATAATACTAATAGTAAAAAGCGTAGTAGTAATAGCAATCGTAATCAGGGTAAAAATTGTGATAGTAGTAATAGCCAGGCAGGCCATAATGGTAACAATGGTAACAGTCGTGGTCGTGGTCGTAGCCGTCGTCGTAGCAGTAGCAGCAGCAGTAGCGGTACGCAGCACGCGTGGCAACGGCGGCAGCAGTAGAAGTACGCAGTGCACGTAGCAGTAGCAGCAGTCTGTAGCACTAGTCCGTAGTCTGTAGCAGTAGTCAGTAGCAGTAGCAGGTAGCAAGTAGAAAATAGTAACTAGCAAGCAGCAAGTAGCAACTAGCAAGCAGCAACTAGCAAGTAGCAAGTAGCAAGTAGCTGTAGTCCCATGTTTTTAGTCCCGCAGAAGAAAGAGCAGCCATAAGAAGTTCGGTCAATAGTATACATGAAGGCCTAACCCTCCAGCTTGATGTCGCCGTTCAGATTCCATTGTGGGCGTAGAGCAGTTCTTTCTGGGTGTTTCGAAGAAAAGTACTAGTACCAGAGTACAAACTCTCGACGCTTGAACCCTGAGTCCAATCCGTTCATCTTGGGCAAGCAAGTGGTGCGTCAGGGCACCGAAAGACGCTTAAGCCAAAACTCTACTTGGAGGGTCGGGGGACTTAGTAAGTAGGTAGTAGGTAGACTTAAAAGTACCCTAAACGGGACCCTAATTGGGTTATGGTACTTATAAGTCCCGAAAATGACCAGTTACTAAGTCCCCCGACCCTCCAAGTACGAGACGAAACCTACGTCGTCTACGCCATCCCAATCCTGCAACCCCTGAAGCCCCATACCTTTGAAAAGCCCTGAAGCCACATCCTAGGGGTCTGACTGTCTGACTAATCAGTAAGATTATTTATAAAGGTTCCTTGTTATGGGCATGATATTTGCAGGCCTCTGTATTCTACCCAGCATAGTGGTCCCGAATGATTAGAAATATTACTCGCTTATACTCCCTATTCGAGTCATTAGTATACCCCATAGTGCTAGTCTGATGAATTATTAAAGCCATCATATCACACGTAACCACAGCACTGCGCAACCCCGATGCGGAGTATTTGCAAGCTGTTTTCAACTCTCTCTTTCTTATAGCACCCATGTTTGGGTGGTTTGACACCTTTTTAGGGTCCCTATTATAATACGGCACCTAATATTTAGGGTAATTACCCAAAAAGGGGCCATAAATTTGACGTCCGCCCATATGAGAATCTCTCAACACCCCGCGCAGGCCCGGGCCACGTTGTCTGAACTGACGCTGTCGAGAGAGAATCTTTGCTTCGTTTTTGGGGTGAGAGCCATTCTAGGCTTATTCTAGGGTTCCTTTAAAGGAATCTATAAGGGCTCCTTTACGGAATCCTATAAGAGATCTATAGAGTGCAGGTTTAGCGTTTAGGGTTCAGGGTTTAGGCTTTAGGGTGTAGGTTCAGAGCTTAGAGGGTGAGAGAGCGTGTTGTCGACTTTAACGATCGATTTGGTGTCAGTGGGTTTCTCGGATTGTTATACTGCTTGCAGGGTTCTTGTTGGTGCTTGCGCGCTGGAGGTCGTATGGTGATGTTTATGGGAACTCTGTCTTGAGGGAAGAGCGGTGGGTGGCTTCA